ACTTATATACAAGGCAGTGGCATTATTTTAAGATTTTTGAAAGTGTCTCGAAATGGCATACCCTTATAAAATCCAAGAACCAATCAGTGGCGATCACTCAGGAGCAAAAATCCATTAACATTGCTAACACTTTAATTTGGCCTATATTTCTATCTCAATTTTTAAGAGTAGCTTCTTCGAAATTCCCTTGTACACTTTATTATGTCCAAATCGTGTTAATTTTGATAGAGACGGCGATCCACAAATCTGAGTTAATCTGCATGAAAATAATCCTGAATGTTCAGAATGGCGGTATGTAAATTTGGATAACAATAACAACAGTGGACGTATAACAGACCCCTGAGATTAAGTTGGCAGAGCAATTACTATAACCACAGATGTATACAAGCAACAGATTGCTAACCTCATGTATTTCATGGGTATACTCAAAAGCGCCCTCTATAGAGTAGAAGTATAAACATGTACCATTTAAAACTGCAAAATGACACCTATTGATTTTTTGCATTGTTTGCGAGGAACTATTAAAGTACGAGGCCCCTTTGGGATCGAGTACTTTAATTTACAAGTATAACATCTTCTGCAAATCGTGTTTTTAATATAGAATAGCAATTTTCACATAGAACTTTTTATGTGGTAAACACAGGAAATAGGAAAATTAGTCAGGAAAAGTGTTACTGCCACCATGGAAACTCAAATTTTCTGGCATAAACTAGGCATGAAAATGGAGGTTCATGACGATTTCGAGAAAAAAGAGTTTTGCGATTTTCCATAGGTCATTAATTTAATGTTGTCCAGTGAGTTTTGCGTTTAGGCACGTTTTGAGATTTTTTCAAAGGTTATAATTTATGAAGGAGTCGAAAATAAACATTATCTTTGAACATTTTGATAGGCAACGAATCGTCTGCACAAATTGGTGTATAAAAGCATGAACGTGACGTTAACGTTAAGAAAACTACTGTACGATGTATAAGTAACTAAATTGTCTATTAAAAGTTCTAAACGCCTTCTCTCCAGAAGACTTTTGGAAACCCTTGTAGGCTCGCTCTCACATTACACATATTAATGAATAGCGTAAAATCTTCGTCCTTACGCGTTCTTAAATTTTTTTCAAGTCTCAAAAAGGTTTCAAAGAATCTTCAAAATCCTTTAACCCTTTTAAAAGCTATCTAAAACTGGCAAAGAAAAGCTAGGCTTTTAAAGAAGGGATGTACCGACTCTTAAAATTTCCTTTTAAGTAATTTAATGACCTTTAATGGCTCTTCAAGACAAGCATCTTTCAAAGCGTATTAAACACTCTTTAGGTTTCAAATTAAGCTAATAAAGGCAAAGTCTCTAAGCATTCTGAAGGCTTTTGAAAACGTTTTGAAACCTATGGAAACTTTTACGGGCTTTTAAATACTCTAAGAGCGTTTAGAACTCCCCTAGGGCTTTTTAAAAACTCTTAGACACTGTTGTCAACTGTACAAGCCTCTTGCAAGGATCGGGTATTACATACCCTCAATACACTCGTACACCACCTAAAAGCTCTTACAGACCTTTCAAAACCTTTAAGAGCTCACACAAGCTTTCCTTCTTAATAGATCTTTAAGATGTTTAAAAACTGAGAGTGCCTAAAGGTTAGCTACATTTGTAAGCGCTTTAAAACTTTTAAAAATGTATGCTATTAAAACTCTAGAATAGGGAGAGCAATTTGGAAAACTCATTGAGTACTGTAACGCCTAATAACGCGGATGTCTATAAAAATAGCGAGCATTCTACCGGCTACTCCGAATTAGGTTTTCCTGCAGTTTTCCTAATTCGTAAGGTAAATACCGGAGTAGTATAGACCATCTTAAGAAAGGCACCTCTAAATAGCATTATGCGGCTCACTCTGTAATTGGGCGCATGCCTGTTGAGGACCCAAAACACGAGAGGGATATTAAAAAAAAAATAAATAAAAATGTCTGTAATAGCCTTTAGAACCCAATCAACACCATTTCATATAAAAAGCGTTTACAGTAGACTAAAACCCTAGGTATATCACACGCATAAATGTCTGAAGGATATTACTATATTCTTGCAGGAATATTATGCATTTATTATTCCCATTCATTACGAATTGTATGCGTATAAATGGTGTTATATACGTTTATCAGATTAGAGCTAAAGAACGAATAATAATCCAGGTCCAGTCAGTAAGCGATAGCGCAACTCAAAACTCCCGCCAAAGCTAACTAAAACTCATGGCACGTGATCGTCAAGTAAAAACCTGTCTAGGGCTAGGACCTACGTTGTGTTGTGAAATGAGTTACTGGAGGATGTGCCTGTGCCGCTCTAAGGATCGTCCAACATAAATAAAACATAAGAAATAGGAGGGGGAGGAGGCAGGCGCCTGCCATTTTGGCCAGTACATAACCGGCCTCATAGTAATAATATGCACTGTATCCAAGATAAGAACGTCTGTCATGGGGGATCTCGGAAACCATATAAGATACGACCATGGCCAAATTGGGGCGCGATTATTACAGTTTTCATATAACATAAAAATTCAAATATTTAGGAATCATGAAAAAGTATCATATTTGGCATATATGCAAAATAAGATGGCGGCACAATACTATTGTAAATCCAACAAATACCCGTCGTACAAGACGATAACAATCTTCGTGCGAGTTGTTAAAATATAAAATATATGTGAGAAGTTACATAGCACTCTAACTATACCGTAAACCTCCCGCTAATAAATGATAAAACCAACCCTGATGCCCAAACAGAATAATATTAATTAAGTTAAAGGAAAATTCCCAAAACATTAATGCAACTGCGCAACTTGCAATTCCGAATATCGTAATTGAATTTATGTGACCTACAAAATTTCCATAACGAAAAGTTTCATACGCGCAATCCACAGAAAATAACAAATAAATCCCTAAATACGCCCCTTATTGTAACTGATCACATTTACAAAATTATTTCGCAATTTTAAAACAAAGGCCCAGCCAATTCAAATTTATGAAAGCAAACACCCTATTAAATCGACGAGCAAGGAATACAAAACAATTACCCTGCATTCTATTCTAATTACAGAGGTTGCAAAGAAAAAGAAAGCATTTGCCTATAGTTTCGAGTCAAACACATACACTCTGCATGCCACAATTATTCTGCCGTGGTGGGACAAAAAATTCATCTCTCTGGAGATATAACGTGTTTCATACCCGATCATAATAAGGGGTCGAGGGGGAGGCTATGGGTGGTAGAAAGAAATTACTTCCACTGATCTCGAAAAAGAGTCGCCCTGGAAAGTTATAGTTTGTACAAACCAATTTACTTCGATGAGACATTTCATTGGAATACCATGAATTGTAGAACGTGTGTTAACCCCCCCCCCCCCATTTTCAAAAGTATGCAAAATCTGAGACCAATATTGGTTGTCGTACTTATGTAAAAGTCATGCACGTTTTCTTTCAAAAACAGTGTCTCAGGAAATAATTCTGCCCCCCCCCCTTTAAGACAGCGAAATTTAATTGCAAAAAATTCCAGGACTCTAGGACCATTCCCCTAGAAGTAGTTCAAAACAGCAGAAGTGGGTCCGGACGGACGGCGGACAAAACACAAACAAAAAAATTAAAAAAACTCAAAAAACACTTTTCGTCAACAGAACAGAATGTTTCATTGTGATTTCTTGCTGTTTTTTTAGTTTTTGATTCTTCAGCGACCGCACAAATTTTAGTGTTCCCAATAATATTTCAAACTAATCAGTTTGAAAAGCAAACTTATAACAAACTAAATATTTATTACGAAGTTGGTAATTTGGCCTGGTATTCTATTTAAACACGTCTATTAGAACTTAATTGCGAAGAGGTATTTGTATTAGCAATTTTAATTACTAATAATTACTTATGTTAATTTTCTACAATAATTTGTGAAATACAACTAAAATTGTCGGCAATTTCGCATGAAAACTCTTGCCTCTAGAAACCGCATACATAATGAAAAGGAGTAGTGTAGATTTATTGGTGTTCATCATGCATTATGCAGTAATTGTAAAATTAACTAAACAAAGTTTGATTACAATAATAATCGTAATAACAACGTAGTAAACCATTCAACTCCCCGCAGAGGAGGATTGGTTAAAACTAAGTTCGTAATTAATTTTAGAAGAGAATGTTACAGGTACATAAATCTGTATTAAGCATGAAAGTAGGCATTAGTTTATTTTCATTTAGCAAATTAATACGCTTCGGTATTGTCTGACAGTGACAAGTTACATGTATAGCAAGTTTATCCAATTTCAGTATATGCTAACAGTTTCCTTTGTTAAAATAAAAATCTAGTTTTCCAATCTACCCTACCGACTACCGCTCACTGAGGGTAGAGGGTAGAGACCTCTTATTCTTCTGATTAATACACTATAACGCCTCTCAATTAAAGAAAATGTCCGCCCAACAACTTAACTGCAGTGCTTTTCACAACATTATACTTCTGACGGAGAGCGCCGGTTTTGCAACCGCTCAGACCCCGGAAATTGTTTCGAGGCAATGAATTTAACCTATCCCAAAGCCTTTTGATGTACTTTTTCAAGTTCATTGAATACGGTTTAAATCCACTAGAGTTTACAAAAAGGTAGAATTGGGGTTGGAGTTTACCAATTAGCAACACAAAAAAAATCGATAGTGTTGGTATTGCGAATTTGAAACAATAAATCAATTTTGCGCCCTTTGTAATGAAATTAGTAGGAGGATACTCCGAAATCTGCTCGGTTTAGTACAACAGCACACAACCTTAACGCGATTGCAAATTTTCGCATCGATCGCGCTCTGGTACGTGATCTCCCTTAGGGTTAAATTCATCGCCTATTTTAAAATCAGTTTTCCTTGCATGCTTTCTTTTTGGAATGATTCACTTAGCGATAGGGTTTCGATTAGACATTAAACACACTCACTCATCATACAATTAGACCATACAACATACGATGCACTTGTAGCATTTAGTAATTTAGACAATTCGCACGCAACTTTCAGGAGGGCAGCGGACAATGGTTATCACTAGATGCAGAATTAGTAATGAGAGATGGAGAAGTTGTGGGCACGAAGGGTCCCACGGGACATTCCATCTTGGTGGACTGCCGCTTCGAACTTCCGTTCGGTAAGTTTCACTATAATTTAGCTTAGTTACCATACATTGTTATTAACTCATCTTAGGCATGGCGCGCCAATAATTATCTCAGTTCATAAATATCAGTAGTTAATCATTTTAGACTTGCGGTGGCTGATTATGCGTATATATCATTGTGCTTCTTGCATTCAAAGATGAGTTGCTTTTAGTATAAGAGGTTTAACTAAGTGCACGTAATCAAGTTGTTGTTTCTGTGGAAGAAATTCGAGTGGTGTCGTGATTTTATTATGCAGAACGTCACATACGCATGATGTCGCTATCAAAGTGCGCACCGCGGTTTAATTCATGCAAAACCGATGCCAGTAACGCGCTGATGGCGTCTGCGAATACTAGTTAGGAGGTCGTGGGTTCGAGTCTCGATGTCGACTGCTGTGAGGGAATTGTCCTCGGACTTAACGTAAAGTTCGCGATGCGAATGCTGGAGCGTTACTCTTCTCCCACCGATTTCTAAATTCTATCCATTTTTAATTCTCGTTTCTGGATGAAGATGCTCTGGAAATCCTACAGCAGCCATTTTCCCTAGCATTTTCCTATATTTTTATATTTTCCATGCAAAAAATTCTGGGGATGGAAGCACCTCATTTTTGTTTAATCTGAGAGTTATATGTTATAATAAGTAAAATCTTTAATGACCATTTAATCTGATGGGAGTATGAATTTAATTTCACATTCAGTCACAGGAATTTCTTCAATATGACCCAGTTTTCAGAAAGTTTGTTTCCATTTGGTTTTCTTTGTTTAATAATTTGAAAGGAGTAAGTTTGTTCTATCTTGAAAATCATATATTTATTATATATATATTTTTTTTGAGTTATAATAATAACTGCAAGTGCAGACCTATCACGGCCCAAGGTCGATTTAACTAATGCTCGGCAATATGTAATGAAACCTGGCAATTGGTTGACGACCCGCAGCTTGATCCCACCTCAAAATTTGAAATGTTTGTCAAAAAAATTATCTATTATTTTGAAAATGCTTTTCCTGAAAGAATTTTTGCCGATGGGGTACCCTCTACCAGAAACGTGACATGGTTTACTGCGGAATTAAACATATACGTAACACGGTTCAACTTGTCTCCGAGGCATACAAAACCAACCCAACTCCTGCAGCTAAGCAGCTGGTACTTAAAAACAAAAAAATTTAGAAATTTAAACTTCGGGCAAGTAAAATTGCAGCAAATGACTTATACGTGTCCTCCGCAGACAATAAATCTAAAGCCACGTGGAATCTCATTAACAATAAAAGAAATATTTCATCAAAATATAAATGCGAGATTGATCCTAACACAATGAACAACTTTTTCAGTAATATTGCCAGTGCCATTATTAACTCGATACCAAACTCAAATCGAGACCCTTTAAAATTCATGCGTTATGTCAAGGTAGCGAAACCATGTTTCCGGTTTAACGAAGTTTCTTTCGGTGATGTGAGAGAAACAATTTCAAAAATGAGAAACAATAAGAGCAAGGACTGCTTTGGACTAAGTGCCGTAGTCATAAAAACAATTATTCACTACATCACTGTACCCCTTACGAAAATTATTAATGCGTGCATACGAACTAATACTTTTCCTAAGGTGCTAAAAATTGCGTCAGTTGTTCCGATCCTGAAAAAGGGGAACCAAACTGATATGAACAATTATCGTCCAATTTCAATTATATCCATATTCGCCAAAATTTTTGAAAAATTACTAGCCGACCAAATAACAAATTTTTTTGAAGATAACTTATTTTCCGAAAAACAATTTGGATTTAGGAAAGGACACTCGACGATTGATGCTGTCCTTGCTCTTATTAATTCCATTCATAACAGTCTTGACCTTAAAGAATATCACATCACGACATTCCTACACCTACAGAAAGCCTTCGATTGCGTCTCCCATGCTATCTTACTAAATAAATTACAATTTTACAATTTTGACGTCGACAGCAGAGATTTAGTTAAATCTTATTTATCACAACGACTCCAGTATGTAACCATTAATAACACCAAATCAGAGTCAACGACAATGCTACACGGGGTGCCCCAAGGGTCAGTACTAGGTCCTGTTCGATTTTTAATCTATATCAACGACCTCGCCTGTTTCATGAGCTCACACTGCAATATTATGCTGTTCGCTGACGACACTTCTCTGTCAGTTAGCTGTAGATCTTTTGAAAAGGCAACTTCTCTTAGCAGGGAGGTGCAAACGAAGGCCACAGAATGGTTCAATGCAAATCAATTATGTCTAAATAAGAACAAGTCTTTAAATGTTACATTTTCACTGTGCAAGTTTGACGTATCCCTCACGTCACCGAAAGTTAAGTTTCTGGGCGTACATCTTGACTATAAACTAGCATGGCATAATCATGGGGATGAAATTTCTAAAAAAATAAATTCTGGTATTTACCTGTTACGTGCGGCCTCGGGGAGTCTATCTGCAAAAATTCTTAAAACAATATACTTCTCGTTAATTCAGCCTCATATTTCCTATGGAATATTGGTATGGGGACATTCCAGTATAGCCAATCGTATTTTCGGGCTACAAAGGAGAGCCATTAGAATCATTAATAACCTTAAATATAGAGAGCAATGCAAAGACGCTTTTGCATCGCTCCGTATATTAACATATCCTTGCTTGTATATACTGGAGTGCCTACTGTACATAAAAGCAAACATTGAACATTTTGAGGTACACTCTACGTGCCATAACTATCAGACGCGTAATAGGGATAACGTAAGTCTACCTTTTGTATCACACTATGTAATTTGTAATCACACTATGTAATTGACTGAAGTACTGGTCCATCTTACAAAGTATACATTCAATCACAATTTATTCTTGAAATAATTACCCAAAGCATTCACAAGAACGTTACTATTATTTTCTAAAATTGGACTATGTATGGAAACTATATCCTTGAATATGAAGCCATTTATTAGCTTGCCATTTATTAGAAAAACATTTCGGTAATAAATTGAATTTCCGTTTTTGTCTATCTCGCATTATTACGAAATTTCACCGCTGCTTGAAGTATTTTTAACATAATGGGGAAGCTGGTTGAAATTATTCGCTTTTACGAAAAGAGTATTATGTTAAATATTAATTCAAAAAATATATCAAAATAACAAATATTGAAAGTACAACTGTGCGTACAATAATTACGCGGGACTTTTCAAATAGAAAGAATACACCGGTTTTTCAAATAGTAACCCTAATTTTTATCGCATTTTTGCAAATTTATTTGTAAAAAGTAGCTTTTAATCTCACTTTGGCTGGCTGGCTGGCAGCAAATGTGGGCGCGTAGAAGAACTCTTGTAGAAAGGCAACGGGTGTACGTGTATCTACAGGGTACCCTCAAAGGGAATGTGGTAGCCCCCGACACGATCTTCCTGATGGTGGAGTCAAATCTTCAAACGCGAATTGCGGGTGAACGGGACGTCGGAAGTGGGTACCGTCAAAGAGAATGTGGTAGCCCGCGACACGATCTCACTAATGGTGGAGACAAAACTTTAAAAGCGAATTGCGGGTGCACGCGGAAAGTGGGAAGCGGTTAGTGAATGTAGTAGCCTTCGACAAGATCTGTTATTGATGGTTGAGTCGAAAGTGGCTAATAGAATACTGATCTGCCACACAAAAATGCGCTGAAGTCCCTTCGATCTCAAACGAGGACTTTGATAATTTTTTATTAACGATCAAAGTTTTCGAGTGGTTACTCATTCAAATACGAGTATTAACCGGAAGCAATGTTGATTGCTTGACTGTAGAAATAAATCAATTATTAGGAATAAACACAAACAAAAGTAAAAAAAGTGCGTGAAGTCATATAACACAACAACGTGGAGCTCGAGTTACGAGTGAACGTATCATTAAACATTGTCGGCTATCGCAAACTAATTAGAATTATTATTAATTTAAAAAGGGGTGAAGTTTGATTTTGTCCAAGTATGACAATGGAATTTGGAGCAAACGCAAATAAGTAGTGAATTAAATACCATCATTTTTATCTAGAATATATACCTGTTTCTGAGATGATTTATTGGGTGTTATAAGCGAGATGAATTGCGGTTTATCCGAGGGCGTAGCGGTCATTTTTTTTGTAAGCTGTGATCTTATTTTTTATTCAATGTTTCTTAATTAATTTATATACCTACAGGGTGTCCTATTTATCTTGAGACAGTCGATTATTGCGGAAACGACCGGGAATATCAAGAAATGATTTATAAAAAATAATTTTCACATGGAGGGACCTATTTAATGATGTTTTGCTTTTAGTTAAGAAATAAAATAGAAGCGTGAAAATCTCCACAGCCGTAGTTCGTTTTGGTCAAATGGTCTTTCGTTACCATTTACCCATAGGGTTGGGCGCCACTCCATTTCTATCTTAACTCTCCCAATACGAAATTAAGAAGATTCGAAGGTAGTAAAGGGTACCAAAACAGATACTGATTTATTCAATCAACAAAAGCTCAAAATAAACTAGACCCACAAATACAAATATTTCTCCAAATATTCAACATTATTGATTACATGACTACAGATGGTCGGTGCAAGGCTTCAAGGTGGTCATTATCGCCCTGATAAGGTCTACACAGGTTTTGAGCCCAATTAAGTTAATATCTTCGCAAGGAAACACCCCGATGATACTTTTAACACTCCCGATCTGGGCTGGTATTGTTCGGCAGCAAATATCGGAGGAAGGAAAAGCCCTCTATAACTACTACATACAGCAGTCGTCTTAAAATCCCAAATGCACATACCTCTAAGTTAATGAGAGGGCGTAGGAACCAATTAATACGAATAAAGATGCTAAGAATTATTAAATTACGTCACTTCCACCGTCAGATATCGGACGTCTGAAAAGAAAATGCGCCAGGATTCGGAAGCGTCACGTGTACAAATTCCAATTCAAATCCTTCGTAACGAGATAAATGCAAATCGAAACAAACTCAACTTCGAAATCACAAATAAGCGCGGATCACTACTATGT